ATTAATTTTTTAATTTTTATATAAATTAATTATAAAATTACATTTAAACAAACCATTTTATTAGTTATTTAATCATAAGTTTTGTCTTTAAGTTTGACATTGGTAATGGTCGATTAGTACTTGCCTAGGCCAAATAGGCAAAATAGCCAAATTAGCCAAATTCACCCCCAAAATTAGGTGGAAGGGATGAATTCACCCCCCAAAACAAAAATGGGACAAATTCACCCCCAAAATTCTTGAGTTGGGCAAATAACTTGTTATTTGACATGCCATGTTATGTGATATCATCATTTCATTAACGGCCCATTAAGTCTGACTTTTCAAACACCTTAGAATCTTTTTTTAACACCTAGATGCTTAGGTGGCCATTTTTGTTGAGTTGGATGACTACATGGCACTTGCCTCATTTTTTTTTATGTCCATCTCATCTAGGTCTTACTTTAAATGTCAAAATTACATCCTCTTGTCTAGTTATGAATATAACCTTTTCTTCTTCCTTTACCTAATTTTCCTTTTCCCTTTCTAACCATAGTAGATCAAAGGCCGACAACAGTGAGAGCTTTTCTCTCCCTTTTCCCCTTCTACCTTTTCCATCATGTGAGGTTGGGGCAAAATAGAACCCAGATTATAAGCCAAAAGACATAATCACGCCTCATGATAAGCTCAAAGTGCCAAAAACTGACATTTATGTTCTTTTGTCACAAGAGCTTGAAGGAGTTGCAAATTTTGCAAGTTTGTTGTGCGATTTTGGGTATAATAGTGTTGAGATTGACTAATGAGAATTGAAATTGCATTTTTAGTTATAATAGAGGAAACCCAGATCTAGGTTTGATGTCTTCAAGGATTTGTAAGCCACCATAATAAATCTAGTTCGAGATGCTCAACTAGGTTTAATGATGATGGGTTTGTTGTAATTTTCTACAATATCCTTGAAGACAACAAACCCACCATAACAAATCTAGTTCTAAATGCTTAGCTAGGCATGCCAGAGGATTATTTGAGGTCAATGGTGGATCACATCCAAGTATACTGGTCGAGAAAGCTTGAATTTAGAAGGAAACTCACCAAAACTCAATGGACTAGATTCTCCATATATGAATTGGCTGATTTTAGGTCGGGAAAGCTGATTTAAACCAAACCAATAAACCTGAACTTGATGCCATAATTGTGCATCTTCTTGTCAAAAGAAGGGGTGAAGCCAAGTGGGGTGATTGTGCTGCATATCTGCTCGCCTTACTCTGCCACTAATAGATTTATGGAGTCTTGTGTTTGAAAAGTTCATGCCAAGAGTGGACATGGAAATTATAGCATTTTTCTAAAACCAACCACAATGGTTAGGAATAGGAAATCACTAAAGAGGAAGAAGATCCAGGCTATCAAACTAAAGTCTAGTGCGTAATGCAACAACCAAGATGAACAATCCATAGAGGGAGCTGTAGTGTATTGCAAGGATGTCTTGAAGATGCCTTGTCAGAGAATATGAGCAGTCCATTTCCTTTAACTATTTTTTTCTTTAATTTTGTTTTTTAAGAGTTAATCCATTAATATGTAATAATAAGTGTTGCTTATTAATCATTTAAGCTTCTAAATGGCCTTTCATCATTTAAGTTAATTAAATTTTAATGCGTAATTCATTAATTAAAAATTATGAAATCAAAAATAGTAGGCCCCACTAATAAATTGGTATGGAGGGTAAAACAGAGGAGAAAAAATGTTTCAAGGGGTATTTATGATATTTAAAGTAGAGCCCACATGCAAAAAGGAACAAAATGCCACGTTGTAAAAAATGGGTTGGAATTAGACTACAATAGTGTCTAGCTCAACCAAAATAGCCATTTAAGCGGCCAAGGTGTTTAAAAAGTCAGACTTAACAAGCTAGTTAATGAAATACTGACATCACATGATGTGGCACATCAAATAATAAGTTATTTATTCAAGTCAAAAACTTTATGAGTGAATTTATTTTTATTTTTTGTTGGGGGTGAATCCATCCTTATTGCCTAAGTTTGGGGATGGATTTGGTAATAAGAGGGAGGGTGTTGAAAAGAGAGTGCTAGAGCGAGTGCACTCTTGAGAAAGTATCAAATGTTATCCTGGCGCAAATCAATGGCCAGCCCTTGACCATGTTTTGGGGATGAATGGCACTGTCTTGGCGACAAATCAATGGCAGCCCTTGACTTTGCATGATTTTTATTGGGGGGACCGCTATAAAATTAAAAGGAATAGTGAAAGAGAAAAGAAGGCGTGAAAAGAAGAAAAAAGGTTTTGGAGATCCGAACCCAACTGGCACCCAATTATTTGACTTGTTTGGGATTGGTTTCGGAACCCAAAACCAAAACGCGTCAAAAGAAAGTTAAAGCACTAAATTCAGTCCCCTCAACTTTTTAAATATATACTTTAAAAAGTATAAAAATTATTTTTAAATTTTAATTTTCAGTACCATTTGGGCCCCTTGTTAAATTTTGATGTGACACCGTTTCATCTGTTAACTCTACCCTTATGTGGCAGATCCAAACAATATCTCATATCAAAGTTATTAGTAGGTCCATGTGAAACAAAAATGATGTGGTCATATGGCACTAGATCCATTTCAATAGAAAAATATTTAAACTATAATGGGACCCATATATTTCAATTAATTTATATAATTTTTAATTAAGGAACTATTAACAAATTAATCAATCATTAATTAAATATTCAAACAACTACATTACTCTCCCCAAAGAAAACCTAGAAAGAGAAATGAAAAATCTCCCAGAAAAATCATAGCCCCTTTCCTCAAACTAATCACAACAACCAAAATAAACACTCCTTGTTGCTCATATTCTTTATATTCTCATTGAGACATTTTGTCAAATACCTTCAGGGCATTGTCAACAATGCTAATCCTCTCCAAAGCCAGAAGGAAAATAGTACCCAGTAAAGATATTGATCGAAGTTGGTGTGTTGGAGATGGTGAATGAAGATGAGAGAAAAAGAGGGTTGGAGGATGAAGATGGGGACATTTAAGTACTTTTATATTTTTA